AGCAGCTTGTGCCCTGGCTGGTGTGGCTCCGTGGACTGAGCGCCGGCTTACAAACCGAAGGGTTGCCGGTTCGATTCCCAGTCAGCGTACATGCCTGGGTTGCAGGCCATGACCCCCAGCAACCACACATGGATGTTTCTCTCTCTCTCTCTCTCCCTCCCTTCCCTCTCTAAAAATAAAATAAATAAAATCTTTAAAAAAGAGAGAGAGAGAGAGAGAGAACACCGAGCCACGGCAGCAGCCTCTCTTCTGCGCTATCCCTGTTGGGAAGTCACAACGGTCACTGGTCCCGTTCCATCGCGCTCCTCAGATGGTCAGTCACCCTGTCACAGAGAGCAGTGGGGGCTGAGCGGGCCTCCAGTCTTTTACAAAGAAATACGTCATCGCATCATCAGTGCTACTCTCCTTAGTACATTAAAAAAAAAAAAAAGAGCCACCCCTATCTATACTCTGGGAGAGGGCCCGCGGGCCACCGAGGCTGGACCCTGCGTGGGAGTTCCGCATCCTGGGAGGTCCCTGCCCGCTTCGCAGCCGCCGTGCGCGCCTTTTCTGAGCCTTACGGTAAGCACCGCGCGCAGAGCAACCACGTGGCGGCAGAGCCGAGGCCGGGCGGGAATGCGCGGAATGCGCGGCGGCCCGCTCTGCTCCTGAGCCAAGGCCTGGGTTCCCGCAGCGCGCCTCCGGCCGAGCCTGTCTTCCCAGACCGGCTGCTCCCCAGCCCCAGGCCCCGTGGCCCAGAACCGCAGGGGCGGGTGGAGCCCCTGTACGAGCACCTCCGCGAGGCTTGGGGACTGACAGGGGCCCATTGGACCCCTCCCACCCCCGCGCCAGGAACTCCCCAAGGGGTCCAAACCCGTGTTCTGCCACCAGGCCCAACTGCGTGAGGCTGAGAGGCCCATGGGAAGGGGTGCAGGGCGTTAGGCGTGGGACCCCTCTCCACTCACCTGAAAAAAATGTTCCTCCCCCACCCCTCCTGGCAAGTGTCCAGAGCCCCAGAACTCGGAGGGTCCCCATGATCGAGACATCACCACCCAGCCCTGGCTGTCCCTCCACCCACCCACCTCCAGGGCCGCAGCGAAGGAGGGAAACTTGCGCGTTTTGAGGGCAGAACAAAGCTGCCTAGAAGGCAGGAGGCTGCCGCCCCCCCCCCCCCCCGCAGTCTCCGAGAAAGGGAGGGGATGGGGGTCTGGTGACAGGTCCTAGAGGGGAGTGGAGGGACCTCAAGTCCCCGGCCGGGGCAGGGGTGCCACAGGAACAAGGAGGGTCTCCAACGGCCCCCCTGCAGCAGGTCCAGTTCCTGCGAGCCCCTGCCCGCGGCCGGTTTCCGAGGCGCCGCGAGTCTCCGCAGCAGCAACCTGCGCCCTAGTCCGGGGCGGGGGTCTGCTTCTCTGGGGGGCGGGTCGCGGCCCTGGTCGCCGTGTTGGCCACGGGAGACTCGAAGACATGGCCTCCTAGGTCGTCCCCTCACCTCCCGTGGTTTGCCTTAGTTGCAGTTGATGATCATCTCAATCTGGGCGCCCACTGCGCGCCCCTTGGTCAGCGCCGGGTCTGGGGCCCGCCACGCGGCCAGGGAGTTGCTAAGAGACTTGGGGTTTCCTGCTGCTCAGAGCACCAGGCGATACATGTGCAGGGGTGACGTTCAGGGAAGTACAGTGTTCTCCCATGCCCGAAGGGCACCCTCTCCCTCGGGATCCTAGAGGCCGGGGGAGCCAGCCCCCTCCCACACCTGTTGGGGTTTGCTTTTCGCTTCCCACGCACACCACGCCCGAGACTTTCAAAGGCGGGAAGGGGTGAACCGACCCCGCATTCCAACGTGTTGACCACTGGGGTTCAGAGGGGGGCGGTCTGTGTGTGGCTGAAATGAACAGAAGAGAGGTAGGAACGCACGCCGCCGGCTTGGCAACGTGGGAGGTGCGGCTGCCCCGGTGTCCAGCTTGTGACTGTCCCGGGTTCCTGGGCCAGAGGCCGCAGCTTTGCGACAGCGGAGAGCCGCACTGGCGTAGCCCGGGCGGAGCTACCGCCACGCGTGGGCCGCCACGCGCACCCCCAAAGCGAGCGGTCTGGGGGAAGGGGAGCCCGAGCGCCCCCGGAACCCTGCGGCCCTCATTCGGAAGCGTTTTTCTAGGGCGATGTAAGGGCTTAACAAAGGAAAACTCGCGGAGCCGCAGCCAAGTCCTTTCAAGTCGCCGCCAGGTATGCGGCGGCAGGTGACCCCACCTGGGTGCCCTCCCCCCGCCCCTGCCCTCTCGGGAGAAGGCGGGTGCCCAGAGATCGACACCCGTGTACGATCTCCATTGGGCCCTGCACCCCCTCCCCAGAGCGTCCGGCTGGGCGGCGCGCAGCCGCGTTGCATCCCAGGGTCGACGCCGCGGCGCGCCGGTTCCTGAATGAACGCGCTCCCTTCCCCCGCCTTGAATGAAGGTTCCCACAGCCAGGGACGGTGGCAAACGCGCCTGCCGCGGAATTCGCCCTCTCCGGGCCGACAATCCGCCGGAGCCACGGTCACCGCGGTGGGGGGCCAGGGACCGAGGAAAGCGGGAAGGTGTTTTAAGTTACTTTTGGATTTCCTTTCGAACCAACCTGGTTTCCCTACCGATTGGGCCGCCAGCCTTTTGTCTCCAAATGGTCACCAAGAAATTAGCGCAGAGCACTTTAAATGAGCCCAGAATTCGCAGTTCCTGCTTCGTGGTGGATTTTTTTTTTAAGGAGTGCAAAATTAAAACTGCAACAGAAAAGTTTTTTAAAGTTGCTTTTCTCTTAGAAAAAAAAATTAAAATCAAAACGTATTGTCTGTCTCCCAGAAGAAGCAGCTTTCAAGGGCTAGGGGCTGTTGGCCCCCTTGGGGGCTCCGGGGAATGCAGATCTGTGCTCCCTGGTGGGGGCTGGGCGGCCGGCGCTCCCCGCCGGGCCCCAAATTCCAGCGCCTCCCCCGCGGGTTCCTGGACGGCTCTTCACGCTCACTGGCCGGGCTTGCACTTTTGCGCCCGTCCCTGAGCGGTGCAATCAACGAAGTTCCTCGTAGAGATCTGCCCGGTCCGCCTAGTAACAGCGCCGCGCCCCCATTGGCTCATGCTAATTCCAGTTTCCTCTGCCTTTCTCCCGGGTTGGGGGGGGGGGGCGGGGAGGTCCCTCTTGGACCCGGAGCCCGTTTTGCCGGAGTGGGCGAGCCTCTTTCTGCCCCGCTGCCCCTACCTATCGCTGGCCTGCCTCGGGCCGGGCAGGGGCGCGCGCGGGGCTCGGGCCCCTTAGACCCCCGGGACAGGAGCCGCCGGGTGATAGCACACAGCCCCATAAATCATCCGGGCGGCCGCCGGGTCGGGATTTTATGAATGAAAAAGCAGTCCGGCCGCCCTCGTGCGCGGGCTGAGGCTGCAAGGCTTCAGCCAGCCCCGGGCCAACCCGAGCATGGGTGCCGGGGGAGGGGGACACGCAGTGGGTGCTCCCTGTTTGGGCCACCCACGGCTTCTGAAGCGTGAGCCGGGGGTAATTACCCTCCTGGACCCGGAATGTCTGTAACCCTAACACCCGCAGGGGAGGGGGCGCGGGAAGAATCGGCCGTGAAAGTGGGGGGGTGCCTTGCCGTGGTGCGTGCGACCTTGCGAAGAGGGTGGGCTTTTTTGTCCGCGTCCTTTCAGCCGTCACTGTTAGGGGGTACGGTGGTTGGATAACACTAACATGTATTCAGGGGGAAGTAAATGAACAGTTTTCTTAATTTGGGGCAGGTATTGTAAAACTTATCAAAGTGTTAAGATTGGGTAAAATACCTTTATTTTTTAAAAGCACGGAGAAGACAATCTAATGGCTAAACATTTTATGTATCCTTTAATATGTCTCTTAAACTTGCTACAATATTGGGGACCCTCAGAGAGTCACGAACATATATAGATTTTTGTTTAAAAACCATCCGATCAGTACACCCATTTCTTTAATTTAAAATTGCTCTCATTTTTGCCAGCCCCTGCCATCCCCATCAAGCTCACGAGTGCAGCCCACGGCAGATTAATAGGATGAAAAGGTGTCCACACCCCCAACAGAACCAATTAAGAAGCTTCCGGTGGTCTTGTCCCAGGCAGAAAGGCGACAAATATTGCCAGAGATTTATTTTACTTTTTAATTTAAAAATGAGCCAGGACAGAGACCACTGTTTGGCTGCCTTCTAAACAGGGTGTTTTTCTAGCAGTTAAGTTGCCGGGAGGGGTGGGTTGGGATTTGGGGACCCCCGCAAGGATGGGTCCGGCCAAGGTAGGAAGACAGCCCGCAGACCCCCTAAGCGGAGAGGACAGATCTCAGGAAATGCTGGCCACCATCTTGGGCTGCTGCTGGATTTTTCGGGCATTTATTTTGTTTTATTTTATTTTTCTGAGCGAGCGCATGCATGCTAGGCTGCAGTCTATTAAATGTTTAGGGTCACCCCCCAGGGCATTTGCAACGACCCCCCCTGTGCACAGGAACAAAGCCTCCAGCAGGGCTGTGGGCTCCCTGGGTGTCCCTGAACGCTAAATGGTTCCTGAAATCTACACGTGTTAATGAAAATGAAAGAAGATGTAGACGTTGAGATTCCTTGGCCGCCTCACCGCCCCTGGGTGCCCTCGTGGCGTTCTCGGAAATGCGCCCATTCTCCCGGCTCGGATATAGGGTGACGCCAAGCCCCGGAGTCCCCCCTCCATGCGGTCTCCCACCCCCCCCAACCCCCGATTGCGTGTGGCCTGCCCGCCCTCCTAGTTGTCCCCCTCTGCAAAGCCACCTCTACCCCACCCCCAAATCCCAAGGGACCCGCTCCGGGAGAACAGCCCCCCTGCACCCCTGTTCCCCGGCGGGGAGAAAGGCTGCCTCGGGGTGATTTGCATTTCTATGAAAACCGGGCTTGGGGGCAACTCCGCGGCGGGACTCTGCCCCTCGACGCTCCCCGGCGCTGCGCGCCCGCGCCCCCTCCCCCTGAGCCCGCCCCCGCCCCCCTCCCATTCTCTGCCTGGCTTTGATCTCCGCTGAACAACAGTAACGTCACAGGGACTACAGGGAAGTTTTGTTGGAAGTTGCAAAGTCCTGGAGCCTCCAGAGGGCTGTCGGCGCAGTAGCAGCGAGCAGCAGCGTCCACGCGCTCCGGCTAGGGGCAGAAGAGCTCGGGGGAGCGCGGGGCGCAGAAGCTAGAGACGAGCGCGGACCGAACCCCCGAGCCACCGCCCGCCCCAGGCAGACCAGCAGAGCCCCAGTCATGGCGCACCAGCTCCTGTGCTGCGAAGTGGAGACCATCCGCCGGGCGTACCCGGATGCCAACCTTCTCAACGACCGGGTGCTGCGGGCCATGCTCCAGGCGGAGGAGACCTGCGCGCCCTCCGTGTCCTACTTCAAGTGTGTGCAAAAGGAAATCGTGCCGTCCATGCGCAAGATCGTGGCCACCTGGATGCTGGAGGTGCGGGGCTTCTCGCGGCTCTCTTAACACTTCCTGCAGCTTGTTACCCAAACTCACGTTCCTTTGCCACTCACCTTCCCTTTTCCCACCCTAACTTTGAAGTTTTCTGGGGTGGTTGTTAGGAATCGTATTTTTAAAAAATACAGATGTTGTGGGTATTTTTTGAACGAGGAGGGGGGTGGGAGCATTAGAAATTCCCTTTTCTGGGGGGAGGGGAGAGGCCGGGGAGGGGGTCCCTTTGGGAAAAGCCAGTGCCAGACGCACCCCAACTGGCTCGAGGGTGCGAGCAGGAAATTTGGGTGCCCTTTGTGGCCCCCGCCTGTGCCCCAGCCCCGCTGCGCCGCCTCCGCCGGCCGCCAAGCCACCAGCTCCAGGGGGAGGGGGCATATATTTGATTTTAAAATTAATATCCATGGACACGTATGCAAGGGCCGCTCGTGCCAGTATTATGCGCCATCTTTGTTCTTTTATTGCAAAGCAAAAGTGTTTATTAATAATTGGGGGCAGGGTGGGGGCGGGGAGCGGCTGGCGAGGCGTTGGGGCCGCGGCGAGGGGCCGCGCGGATGCCAGGAACCGGCGGGAGGGGCGCACGGACCGAGAGCGGGCATTTTGGGGGGGCACCCCTCTCAGGAAGGGGGGCCCTTTGTTCAAGCAGCGAGTCCCGGGGCGCCCTGCATGGCCAGCCAGGGCCGGAGAGCACGCCGGGCTGCAAGGTCGCGTGGCCCCCAAGACACAGGGGGTTGACCCTCATCGGCAGGGGTCTCAGTTCGGGGTCCTGTTTGGAGCGAGCTGGAGGCTCAGATCACATTTAAGGTTTTCAGTGGGCGCCTGGGGTACCCGCAAATATTTTAAAATAATTTCTGAAAGTGCGGCGTGGTGCCCTTGCCAGAGGGAAACGGCGCCCGCGCCCAGAGGGCGGGGGGGCCCCGAGTTTCAATTCCTGGGGATCTCCCCAGAGCCCGAAACGAGCTCTCGACCCCCGGGTCGGGTAAAGGGCCGCCCGACGGTCATTTTCAGGGGTTTTTTATGTACCTAATTATTTTTTAAATATTTTTAAATATTTTTTGAAAAGATGACGTCTGGGGAAATGCGGCGCGGCGGCCTGGGACGCCACCTTTGTGTCTCGCAGGCGCTGCGAGCGCGGCGCCCAGCCCGGTGGCCCCACACCCCTTTTTTTGCGACCCTGATCCAGGCGGGTCCCCGGCACCCACCCGGGCCGGGGTCCCCAGGGCCGGCAGCGCGCGCACAGCGCGCACCGCCCAATCGTGCCCGCTCTCGCCGGGCCAGCCTCCCGGGGACTTTCCCTTTCAGTTTCGGGGTGGGTGGGTATTGGGGACACTCGGGGGAGGGGGACCATCACTGAAAGCGTCTGCCGCTCCCTGCCCGACCCTCTGCGCGCTCGGAGGCTCGCGGCCCGGACGCGAGCAGGGGCCCGGGGCGGGGTCCTGGCAACGGCGGTCACGGCCCCGGTGCCCCGGCAGGTCTGCGAGGAGCAGAAGTGCGAGGAGGAGGTCTTCCCGCTGGCCATGAACTACCTGGACCGCATCCTGTCGCTGGAGCCCATGAAGAAGAGCCGCCTGCAGCTGTTGGGGGCCACCTGCATGTTCGTGGCCTCCAAGATGAAGGAGACCATCCCCCTGACCGCGGAGAAGTTGTGCATCTACACTGACAACTCCATCCGGCCCGATGAGCTGCTGGTAACACCTCTGCCCATCGACATCCCGCTAGCCAGAGGCCCCCGGGGTGCGGGGAGGGGGAGGCGGGAAGCCCCACGGCCCGGGCCCCTCCCGGGAGCCGGCGGGCCCCGGGTTGCCCCGAATCGCGGCCGCCCCACCTCGCTTTTAGCTGCGACTCCCAACGCGTCTGCTGCATCCGTAGCATGGCCGAAAAGTGGACGGCGCGCGCCCTCTAGCGGCGTCGGCGCGCGTCGCGGCCCCGGCCTCGCGTGCGTTCCAGGCACTGGAGGGCTTTCTTCTCCGCTTGGAAAGATCCGGTCTGCCGTCGGAACGCGGGGCACGCACGCTCTTTTGGTGTGGAATTGCACGTTGTCCCCCACCTCCTGGATCTCCACCGTCGCCATCCCCTCTCTCCAGGCCCGGGTCCCACTCGGCCCCCAGGAGCTCCCTGCCCCGCTCCTCATGCTTCTTCGCCCGCTCGTTTCCACAGCAAATGGAGCTGCTGCTGGTGAACAAGCTCAAGTGGAACCTGGCCGCCACCACCCCGCACGACTTCATCGAGCACTTCCTCTCCAAGATGCCGGTGACCGAGGAGAACAGACAGATCATCCGCAAGCACGCGCAGACCTTCGTGGCCCTCTGCGCCACAGGTAGGGCCGCTCTGCTGGGCGCCCCTGGAGGAGCTCCCTGCACCCTGCCTCAGTTTCCCCATCTGAACAGATGGTCCCGCAGCCCTTCCTGTTCTCAGAAGCGCTCCTCCGCCCCTGTTCTGTTGGGGATGGTGGAGGGGGGTTGTCCTCCTGGAGCCGCCTGGCCTGTGTCCAGCGACCGTGGCTTCTGCTCCCCACTCCAGGCAGGGGCGGCTCCACCCTAGAAGGGGTTTAGTTTAGGCCCGCCTCTCCCCACCCCTCCCTCTCTAGCCCTTCCCTGTGTCCTCCAGGAGCCTGAGCTTTGGGGCCCCCTCCTGGCCTCTCCCTGCTGGGCCACCTGCCAGGGGCGCCTCCAGGGGTGGGGAGCCCTGGCCTACAGTGCCTGCACCACGTGCTCTGGGCGGCCAGCTCGGCCCTCCTGCGGGGGCGGCGGCCACCAGAGGAGCCTGGCTGCCTGAGGCCCTGCTTGGGGCGCCTCAGCTGAGCCTTGGGAGGGGCTCCGGAGCAGCCTGCTGCTGCGGTTGGGGGCGGGGCGGGGGCAGGGGCGGGGGCAGGGGCGGGGCGCGGGAGAGGCCTCTCCCTGGCGCCTCCCCTACTCCAGCCCAGCCCCTGGCAGCAGCCAGCCTTTCAAAGCCCAGGGCAGAACCCCACCCCCAACACACACACACACACACACACACACACACACACACACACACACACCCCACCCCCGTGGCCTCCAGCTTCCCCCGGCCCTGCTCCTGACCTCCGTGACCCCTTTCTTGCCTCCCCAGAGGCCCATGCCCCCATCCCGCCCAACTCTGTGTGGCCCGCCTCTGTCCCTGGTCAAGCCTCGGTTGTCCCATCTGTCTGGGGCTTACCCCCGGCAACCTAAGGAGCACACTTCATCAGATGGGAAGATGGCCTCTGGTGTCCGTCACCTCCTGGGGGGGGTGGGGCAGAGCCCCCGAGTGGTGTCCCAGCGCGCCCCCCTGATGCCTGCACTCTAGGGGCTGGTGTTTCCGGGGTAGGCAAGAGCTGGGACGGTTCTTACTGGCCTCTCCAGCCTCCTCCAAGTCCTTCCAAGTGAGGCGTGGGGGGGACAGATGCAGAAGCCAAGGACATTGTTGGCCTGGATGGATCCGAGGGGTGGGGGCGTTCCAGCGCCGGCCCTCGGGTGGGGGCGGGGAGCCTGGCGCGGGCCATCCCCTCTGGCTGGGGCGCCTCTGAGGGGAGAGGCCACCAGAGACTTCCAGACAGCCTTTTATGGGGTTGAAAGTGGTTCGAAGAAACAGCGGTTTCCTGGAGATCAGACAGCGACTGGTTCTTGCACGCCTTCCCCGCTGGATGGCTGGGGCAGCCTGGAGCCGCCCGTTGCCCGAGACCCCAGGGAAGCGGGCTGTGAGGGAGGCAGGCCCCGCGCATGCGCTGCGTCCTGGCTCTGGTCCAGCTCCCAAGCTGCTGCGGTCACTGCGTGAGCACGGGGCCCAGCAGGCGCCCTGACTGCGTGCTCAGATACCTCAGCCCACCCGGGGAGACCCAGCTTTTTGCTCACATTAACTCCTAGAGCTCCCCCCACCCCATGACGGGACCTTCGGCCACAGAGGGGAGCAGCTGCCCTTACCGAACCCCTCAGGCGATGCTCAGGGTCCTGGTCCTGATCCTGCCCGCGCAGTTTGGAGATAAGGGGTTGCAACCGTGCCCTCGGCACCAACGGACCTCTCTCGAGTTGAGAGAGACGTAACTGAAGCACAGACACACGGTCATGTGACGTGGGGGCGTGAGCATGCATCCCATTGAATGGCTCACCCAGCGCCTGGAGCTCAGAATTCCTGCGCCTGCGCATGCGTCACCCGCGCGGCGCTGGGTGTAGCTATTAAAGAGTTGTGTCCACCGGCACCTTTCCTTGTGCTGTGGTGGCCTTCGAAGGTGCCACACTCAGCGCTGGCCCCAGGCTGCAGGCCCCCAACTCCCCCGTGAATGTGCTGGAATCAGGGGCCCCTCCGGAATAATTCCTCATCGGGTGCCACAAAAAGGCTGGCTCCGCTTAAGCGTCCTTACTGTCTTTCCATAGTAGGCCCTTCATGAGCTGGGGAGGGGCGTGCTGCCCGCCCTCACCAGATGGAGGGTCTCCCTGCAGTTCCAGGAGGGAGCGTGCTGGCCCAAATGACAATGTGCCTGCCGCACCTGACGTAGGGTTCTGGCTGCCTGGGGCTGGTCCCCTGCTGGGAAGCCTGTAAGCTGTGGGGGGGACATGCGTGCCCCTCAAGGGCTTGTGGGGGGTCTGTAGAGGACTACTTACAGCCTCCAGCCCTTGTGCCAGTGCAGGGACCTAGAGACAACTCCTCCTGGTCCCCTCAGGGTTTGCCAGCGCTCACTCAGGTGCATAAACTCCAACACACCCAGCCGGCTCCTGCGTGGGGGCTGAGGGTGGGGCGTCCCTTCCTGCGCTGGGCGCATCTGGAGCCCAGACCCGCCCTTGCACACCCGGGTGGGAACCAGAGGTGGGCCCCACAGGGTTCCCCCACTCACAGGCCCCTTGCCTCTCCCTCTGCCACAGACGTGAAGTTCATTTCCAACCCACCCTCCATGGTGGCTGCTGGGAGCGTGGTGTCCGCGGTGCAAGGCCTGCACCTGGGAAGCTGCGGCAGCTTCCTGTCCTATCACCGCCTCACTCGATTCCTCTCCAAAATGATCAGGTGTGACCCGGTAAGTGGCCCTGCCCCACTCCCATGCAGGCTTCGGGGGGCTGCCTGGTCCCCGGCACCGGACACCCCAGTGCCTGGGGTGCTGACGGGGGGGGGGGTGCTTTGGCTTGTGCCGGGGCCCTTGAAGACGACAGGATTGGGGTCACAGGGGGATGGGCAGGTGCCTGCGTTTAGGGGCACCGGACCCATCACAGGCCAGCAGTGTGCCAGTGTCACCCACCCCTCCTGGGGGCTTCTGGGAGGAGGGGGCACCTCCGGGAAGAGGCCCCGAGGCAGGTCCTGCTGGTGACCCATGTCCCGGTGGTGGCCAGCAAGAGATGCTTCAAGGGGCTCCTGCAAGGTCTGGGGCAGTGACCACAGGCGCTGTGTGAGGCACCCTTGTTTCCGACAGCCCTCTGCTCGAGGCTGCTGCCGCCAGAGCCCGAGTCGCCCGTGCCTTCCTAAAGCCGTTGCTTTGCCCCCACATCCGTGCTTTCCTCAGAGAATTACCATCACTCCCAGGGCTCCTGGCATTGCCCAAGTGACACCAGTGTCAGCCGCCTACCCCTGGGGACGCACGACCGCCTTGCCTCCGGCCCAGGTCGGGCTTGGGGCGCCTTCTGGGGCCCCCCTGGAGCACTCGGGAGAGCCGCCAGGCCTGGAGTGGAATTGAGGCAGTGTCGGGTGCCTGGTGCCTGGGCCTCAGTTTCCTCATCTGTCGGATGGGGCCCCCCGCCCCTCCCCTGCCTGCCTGTCTGCAGTAGTTAATGTTCAAGGCGGTGGGGAAGCCCACCTGCTTTAACATTCTGGCAGAGGGGAGACCCGTGGCCGGGCCGTGGCTGGGGGCTGGATCCTAGAGTAGAAGCACGAGTGTGGCAGTGTCCTGGGAGCCGGGGCAGGTGGCCCTGACCCCAGAGCCAGCCTCTGCTTGGACCCTGGGGGCCGTGAGGTCACCTGGCTGTGAGCGGCACCTCCGAGCTGCTGGGACACTTGTCACTGTGAGACCAGGAGCAGCCCGAGAACCCCCACCCCCCTCGAAAACGCGAATGGCGGCCGCCAGTGGCAGCCCGCTGTGGGCGGGCACCGCCAAGGCCCGAGCACCGTCCAGGCTGCGGGCTGCTGAGCGGGATAAAGGGTCCCAGTCCCTTGGGGCCACCCGGCATTCATCATCAGTCATGCACGGCCTAACGCTCCGGGCGGCCATCCATCACAGAGGCCGGGTTCACCGCGGGGCTGACATGGCAGAGGTTAGATCCAAAAAAGCAGGGTGTGGAGGGCCTCCCAGCCCTGGATCAGATGGCTGGGTTCCCCGAGGACAACGGTGGGGCCGGAGATCAGGCCCCGCAGAGGAATTCCGGCGGGGGGGGGGGCGGCACGGGGACAGGCGGGGGGAGGGGGAGGAGGCGCAGGGTGACAGACTCATCTGTGCTCCCAGAAGGCGGCCAGCAGCCCCGTGGTCTCCGGTCCTGAGTGGGGCCACCGCTGCGTGCTTGGTGTGTGGGACAGCTGGTGGCCAGCCCGGGCCTGGGCCTGGGCCTGGGCCTGGGCCTAGTCCGTCCTGGGGGTGGGGCCCTGGGGTGGGGGCCTCCTTCTGAGCGCCGCGCCCCCCCCCACCCCCCCAGGACTGCCTCCGGGCCTGCCAGGAGCAGATCGAAGCACTGCTGGAGGCCAGCCTGCGCCAGGCCCAGCAGCAGAGCCTGGACCCCAAGGCTGCCGAGGAGGAGGAGGAGGAGGAAGAGGAGGTGGACCTGGCCTGCACGCCCACCGACGTGCGCGACGTGGACATTTGAGGGTGCTCGCGGCGAGGGGAGGGGCAGCCCCAGGTGCCGCCCTGACGGGCCTCGGCCGGAAGGGGAGGCCTCCTTCTCCTCCTGTTGGTTTTTTTTTTTTTCTTTGCTCTTTCTCCCTTCCGTCTCTGACTTAAGTGAAAGGCAAAAAAAAAAAAAAGTACCCCCAAAACTGCCTTTAAAAAAAAACACAAAAAAATAGTCTTTGCATAACCCTGCGCGGGGGGAGGGGGGCGGGGGGAGGGGGTGCTACCCAAGCAGAGGACCACGCACCCACAGTTGGCCGGCTTTCCTGTTGCGAGTGCGTGCGTCTGCTGCGTGCAGGTGGGCGTTGACACCAGGAGGGTCCGCAGGGGGGCTTAGATCTCATTCTCTGTGTGTTTAAAGCATAAAAACGTTCTTAAAGGATAGAAGAATTCAACAAAGCATTTTTAAAGTAGAAGAGCGTGTTTAGCTAGAAAAGCGTACTCTTGTGCTTTTCCTGAGGAGCACAGCTTTAAGGCGGCTGTAGGCATCTTGTATCTCGCTTGCTCATGCATGTAGTCACTTTATAAGTCACTTGTGTGTTTATTTTATTCGTAGGTAGGCGTGTACCCTTCCCCGCGTCCACGCGGATGGACCCCGTCGGGGAGCCTTAGTGTAGCTGAGCGGCCGGGGCGCTAGCCCTCCCCCTGCCCGTGGACCGACCGCCAGCGTGGGCGGTGGGCGCCGGCCGGCGGGGCACGCCTCGCGCGCGCTTTTAGAGAGAAGCCTGCGGTAGTGACGTCATAGCGTCTTAGGTTTGTAATCCTCCTGGTTTTGTAGCTGTCGGTCTAGGAGACGCTGGGTTTCCCGCCACCACGCCTGCAAGCCCGCCCACGCCCGGGCGAGCCACGGCTTTTCCGTTTCCGCTCCACGCTGTAGAAACGTTCCACGGACAGCACTTTCGGGCCGGTAGTTCGAGGGAGGGTCTCTTGTTCACGTCGTGTGTGGAGGGGGGGGCAGTTTCTTCACGGGATGGTTCGGGGGGCGCATGCGCAGGAAGGCGGGCGGGCGGGAGCGCGCGCAGGGGGCGCGCGGAAGGCGAGGGTCCCGTCCGGGAGGAAGTGTGCGTTCCCATGTTGCCAGGGTGACGGCGGTCTGTTTCTCGGTCGAGAAGTTGAAGGTTTAGGAATCCTTTGGTGCCAACCGGTGTTTGAAAGTTAGGGGCCTTAAAGGTTCACCTAGAGAACGCGTAGCTTAAGGAAGGGTTAGGGACGTTGTTAAACACTAAAATAGATAATTTATAGTGAAGGCTAAAAAGACTATTTATTGCAGAGGATGTTCGTAAGGCCAGTATGATGTCTAAGGTAATGCAATCTCCCCTTGATTTAAACTCACGCCGGCTGCCTTTCCCGGGGCGGGGTTAATAGTGCTTAGAACAGGTAGGTCCTTCCGTGGGAGGGGGTGCGCCCCAGGGGGGGAAAAAACACACACACACAAACGCGGTGATTCGGCCTGTTTGGTGTTGCCCAAAGTGCTCCAAATCTGAGGCGTCGAGAGTTCCCGGAAACTCGGGGCGCTCGAACCAACCTCTGTTCCGGTGCATTCTTTCCCCTGCTCCCTCCTTTTAAAAAAAAACACATTAGCGACCAGTAGGCAGTTGGCACATCTTGGCTGTGTCCCTTGGACCATCACTGAGTAGGGCGTGTTGGCGGGAGGAGGCGCGGAGGCGGGCGCTGGGAGAGGTTGTGAGGGAGGGGGAGGGGAGGGGAGGGAGGCGGGCGGGGGGGCCCCATTTCCCATTTTTCTCGTGCATTCGCTGCTACCGATGACTTCCCCGCGCGGATCGGGAACAGACTCACCAGGCTTCTCTGTCTCGCACGTTGTTTTGCTGCTATTGGAGGATCAGTTTTTTTGGTTTTTTCTTCTTTCTTGTTTTACAATGTCATGTACGGCCATGTAGTTCTAATTTTCTCATAGAAAAAAAACTGTATTACGGATGCCTGTTTTTTTTTTTGTTAGATTTTTTTTTTTATGTGATCAATTTTGACTTAATGTGATTACTGCTCTATTCCAAAAAGGTTGCCATCCAGGATACCTCATGCTTCTTCACGCAGCCGTGGCTGGGCCGGTGGCCAGGTTTGGTCCGGCCCACGGCCGCCTGCTTCGGCAAACAGACACGCGGACGACCCCCCCCCCCCCCGTGGTCCTGGTGGGGGCGGGCGTGGCCGTGGGGGGGCGTCTCCGAGGGCCAGCCCGTGTCCGCGCCCTCTCCCTGCGCCTGTTAGGCTGGACTCTCCCTCCGACCTGGCATTGACCATCCCGGTAGTTTTTACAGCCGTATTGTTCTTTGCGTATAGCTATGAAAGTTGCATTATTATTATTATTATTGTTGTTGTTATTATTATTATTGTAACAAGTATGTCTTAACGTGCCGCTGTGGTGCTGTGCCCTAGGACTTGGTCACCAGCTTCCAGAGTTGTGGGGTTTCAGGGGTGTGGGGTGGGGTGTGCTGTGTACCCCTGTCCTGTCTGTCCTGCCCACGGTGCTGTGTGCCCCATCACCTGGCACGCTGCCAAACCCAAAGGATGTGCACCCGCGGTGGCCCTGCCCGGCGGGGCGTCGGCGTGCTCGGGGCCCGCCCCGCCCGCGGGGTCCCCGCTTCCGCTTTACCTCAACCAGTCTGGCTGCAGCCTCTGGCTCCAAACCGAACCGGGTCCTGCAGGGCCGGTCTGTCCCGGCACAGGGCGAACACCCCGTGCTCAGAGGCCAGCGCGTCTGGGAGGGGCTCTGGTGGGCGGGCACTCGGGCCTGTGTGTGTTCTGGGTCGCACGCCACGGCGTTTCCCAGCACGGACATGTAACCAGCACGTTTCCAGCGGAAAACAAGACAAACGTGAAAAGTCTAGAAATAAAATTGGTAAAACCCCGGTGTGGTCGCTGCCTGTCTCCGGGGGTGGGCAGGGCGCCAGGGGCACGGGGCCTGGGCTGGGGGTGTGGCAGGCGGGCAGGCAGGGTGTCCGGGTCCTCTGTCGTCGGGGTGGTGCTGTCCTTTGCACTGTGGGGTGTCCAGCTGCATCCTTCGCCTCTACCCACCAGAGGACGGGGTGTCCCCGGTGGTCCAGCAGCAGCATATTCCCAGTACAGGGCAGGTGCACTCAGGCCCCCAGAAGAGTCCGGGGGAACGAATGTGGCTGTAGCCGCCCAAGAGCAGCTCCTGGCCCTGCCACTGGTGGTCAGAACCATCTTCCAGCCCATGTCTCACCAGTTCGCCCTCCCAGCCTGTTTGCAGAGGAATGTCAGCCCCCAGTAGCCACCTACTGGTAGCTCTCGGTGAACCAGTCCCTGGCCCCCGAGCACACAGGGAACACAGTGCCTGTCCAGGCTGCACTCAGGTGGGCCTTCACTCATGACCCAGGAGGCCTGGTGGACACCTGTGAACCCACCTGTGGGTTCCAACCAGGTGGGGAGTGCACCGGGCAGGTGCCACCAGGCCTGGGCCCAGCATCCCAGGGCCGGGCAGGCCCTTCGTCCCTGCTCCCGGGGCTGTCAGAGTCTAGCGAGTGCTCAGGAGCCGCTCCAGCCCAGGTTCCCTGCCATGTCACGGATATAACTAACTACTCGACTCCCTGCAACCCCTGTGAAGCACCGACTGTGAGCTCACCTGCCCCCGGGGGGCACTCCTCCCCTGGGGGCTTCCGTGGGGACCCCACGAGGCTGCCACGGGCACCAGAGCTTCGGGGGAAGGTGCGGTGTGGAGGGGCTGGAGCTGCCGCCCAGTTCATGCTGGGGGGGCGGGGGGGCGCTGCCTGGGAGCCTGCACGCGCTCCCAGAGGGTCCCCTGTGGCAGGAGGCCGAGCCCAGGCCCCCGCCATCGCGGTGGCTCGGCCCCGGGAAGAGGGAGGCGTGCTGGCGTGGAGGACCCAGGAACGTCTGTGGTCTCTGCACACCACTCCGAGACCACCGGGAGCCGTCCTGAGGGGGGGGGGGGGCGGGCAGCGAGCTGTGCTCCGGGCACAGGGCGGCCTCGCGGCGGTCCAGGTTGCCAGCGCTTGGTGGCGCTTAATGCTTTCCAGATGCGAGCTGTGCGCAGGCTGCCGGCGTCGGTGGAGGGGAGAGGCCAGCGCAGGGCACGCCCTTGTGCCGGGAGGGAGCGAGGCCGGGCTGGGGCTGGGGCAGGGGCCAGACCCAAGGAGCCACAGGCCCCATCACACACACACACACAGGTCTGGGCCCAGTGAGGAGGGTCCCGAGTCCCCCAGCGCCCATCTCCTGGGCTGCCCCCCAGCAGCAGCGGGGCGGGGAGAGGCAGCTGGAAGGCCCTTCTCCGTGACGCCTCTGGCCCTGGGCCCTCAAGCCTCCCCCAGCCCCTCTGGCCCCAGCACCGAGGACCCACACACAGGGGGTGCAGGCCTCACGCCCACGGCAGGGGCAGAAACTGGCCTGCTGGGGCGTCCGAGGCAAAGCCGAATCGCCCTCACCTGCGCCCTTGGGCCCCCCAGCCCGGCTCCCGGCCTCAGCGGCCCCGCTACCCTCTGCTGAACCCCCCCTGGGGCTTCAGGCTCCATCCAAGGTCCTGGGACCTGGCCCGTGTTACCCCCTCACCCTCCACCTCCGCCCCCCTCTCTCCCACCCCCCACCTCCCCATGGCCCCTAAGCCGGAAGTGCCCGTCCCCAGGACCGCGGGACACAGGAGATAGCCTCATGCCCCTGCTGCTCCCCCTCCGGGCCCCTGCAGGCCTCCCCCACCCCCAGTGCCCAGGCCCGTCACCCCGGCTGTGCACCCTTGGCACGGGCATCTCGCTGGTGCTCGCCGCCCCACCTCCAGCCGGCAAAGGCGTGGGCCCTGGGGAGTGGGAGCTGCTTTGTGCGTTACCGAGATAGGGGCGGCCCTGCCTGACCCAGCGGGTGGGGGGCAGACTCGGTCTGGCGAGGGGGGTGGGGGCAGAAGACTCCTCAGGGGCCCAGGCAGACCCAGAGAGGCCCCAGGACCCAGCTGAGGCGCGATAAGAACAGACAGTTCCATGCCTGGGCCTCGGAGGGGAGAGGCGGGGGCCCCAGGCCTCTGAGGGCCCCGGCTGCAGTGTCAGCCCCCCCCCCACAACCCCAGACCCCTCGGAGCCGGCCCCCCACCACCACCAGAGCCTGCTGGAAGCCTGGGAGCCTGTTGCCGGGCTCTGCATTCGGCGGGGGCAGCGGTCACAGCACGAGGCCAGGCCGACCCCAGCAGCACCCCGCGCGCTGGGCGGCCCCCGGCGCTCAGGGCTCTGTCATCCCAGGAATGCCTTTGATCAGGGTTTATGGAGGGAAGGCGAGCGGGGCCTCTAATCCGTTCCCACAGCCCCAGCGCGGCGGCGCCCCCCGCCTGGAGCCGCACCGGGGCCCTGCAGACAATAGCCGGCCACATCCGGGGGCGCAGCCCCCCGCCCTCCCAAGGAGGAAGGGGAAGAGAACCCCTCGCCCTCCGCCGGCCGGCGGCCTCGGCGGGCCTCGAGCCCCTCATGGACGGCAGGGGCCGCGCGCCCCGACCCTGGGCTCGGGCAGCCGGGACGGGCCTCCCCACTGCAGGCTCCGAGAGCAGAGTGGTCTCGGCCCCACGTGCCCCCTACCCTGGACCCCAGGCCAGCCCTCCACATCCGGGCCATGCCCCTGCCCCTGCCCCTGCCCCTGGCCCCATTGCCGGAGGGAGGAGAACTGCTGAGGTTCCCCCGAGCACCGACTGGGTGTACCCGCGTCCGAGGCTCCGAGTCAGCGGCCTCGGTGCAGAGCCAGCAGAGACCCCAGAAGGCAGGCCCCCCTGCCCCCGGGGCTGCTGGGCCTGGAGGTGACGGCATCTTCCTGGGGCCTGCCCACCGCCCAGAGGGGCCGGGGCGGGCACGGAGGCAGACCCCCGGAGGAAGCCCCAGCCTCACGGGTGCACGTGGCCGTCTGTCTCTCCCGTGCGTCTGTCCTCACCGGGCACTCTCTCTCTCCATGCACCTCCCTCTCTCGGGCAGCCTCCCCGGGTGCAGCGCCCGCCTCGCCCCCGCACGGCCCGTCTGCCGCCCGGACTCCTCCAGCCAAGGCCCCGTCTCCAAATCAGGGCCCTGTGGGCGGGTCCCCCGTGGGGCCAGGGCTTCAGCATTTTCAGCCCACAGCGGGCGGGTCTGGGTGCCCGCCCCAGGGGGCAGGTTTAAGGGGGCACCTGCTGTTTCCAGGGGTGCCCACCCCCTGGAAACAGCAGGTGTTTCAAACCCCGTGATGAAAGGGTGCCTGCCATTCGCACGGGGTCTGCAGCCCAGTGAATGCGGACGGGGGGCTCAGGATCCCCAGAAAGTGCGTCGCGCCCCCGAGTGGACTTCTCGCGTGGATGGAAGGAGGACCCCCTTCAGAAGGCCCCTCCCCAGAGGGAGCCGCAGCCCTGGCGCCCAGGGCCCGGCCGGCCTTGTACGGGCCCCAGGGAGACGTGGGCACCTCGCAGGGGCCTCCCTGTCTGCAGAGGAGCTTAATCCGCTGCAAAGGAAGAGCTGCACAAACAAGGGGCCGCTCCCCTCCTCCAGGAAATCGGCTGCAAAGCCCCAGCTGAGTGAGTCCCCTGGGCCCGGACACGCCCCAGTGTCTCTAGGGCCTGGACCCTCGGCTGTAGGACTCTTGTGCCCGGTGGCCGCTGAACAGGGTCCCCCCACCCTTTCCTCTGGCCCATCACTCCGGCAGAGCTGCACGCCCCCACACTGGCTCTGGACTCCCCGGGGGCCCCGTGCACCCCTCGGTGAGCGGTTCACGGTTGTGTCGCGGCCTCTCCTGCACGGACGGCCAGCCCTGTCCTCTTCCGTAAGCCCACTCACTGTCTTGGCCTCAGGCCACCTGGACGGGACCCTGGTCACAGGGCCGGCCACACACGACCGGAGGAGAAGCAGGGCTCCCTTCCAGCAGCAGTGGTTTCGGGAGACTGCGAGCGCCTCGTGGCACTCAGGCAGGCCCGAGGGCAGTCACTCGCTGCCACCACCGTGTGTCCCTCAACTGGGCGCCGTGCCACCATCTGGGAAACCGGGGCACAGCCGCCTCCCAGGGGTGCTGGACAACTCAGGGGCCGGGGACGATCAGGTGGCCACCTGGGGAGACTCTGACCCCTTCCTCAAACCTCTTCGTTCTTTCTCAGCACCGGGTGGAGGGACACGGAGGGAGGGAGGGGCAGGGGTCGAGGAGCGGGGGTCAGGGACAGGGAAACACGAAGGAAGGACCTGGAGCTGCTCCCTGGGGGCAGGCGCTTCCCTCCACCGCCAGGGCGCCCCAGCGAGCAGCTCCACCGGCCACTGGCTCGCCCCCCCCGCCCCCCCCGCATGCCCGCCGCCGCTGCGGAAGAACAACATGGAGTGGCTTCAGCTTCCGAGGGAAACAGCCTTCTCCTCGCCCCGTCCCAAGTGCAGGCGGCAAGAGGGGCGGGGGGTGGGGGCCTGCGCCAGGAGGGACCGTCCCCGGGCTGCCTGGCCCCCAGCCCGCCTGACCCCCAGCCCTTCGGAACGTGGCTGCATGGGGAGACGGGGTCTTTAGAGAGTCGAGGCAAAGGCAGGCCCACCTGTGGGAGTGGGCTCTGACCCCACAGGGCTGGTCCTTAAGAAGCGATCAGACCCCGCGCACGCCCACGGGCGACCATGTAGGAACAGGGACGGGACAGCCGTCCACATACCCACGGGAGAGGCCTTGGGGGGGAACTGGCCCTGCGGACCCCTGGGCCTCGCCCCCCCCCCGACGGGGCTGGTGTGGTGTTTGTGACGGCTGCCCGCCCCAGCGGACTAATAAAACAGCAGGAAGGATGCTGGGAGCTCACAGCAGGAAGGAACAGGCATGCCAGAGCCCGGGACAGCTCCGGCCCCCCCTCCCCTGGGAAGGGACGACACCCACCCCAGGGGGCTCCTGAACTCTGGCCACTCTGGACAGCGTGCGAGCAAGCGGGGGGCGGGGGGAGCAGGATGGGACCGGGCGGGGTGGGGGGGGCACGCAGGACGCCACGCCTGCCGACGACAGAAGCCCGCCTGGGCGGCCTCGGAGCCCTAGCCCGCCATCGCCCGCCAGGCCCGGCCTGCACACCGGGGATCCTGGCTCTGGGGCACCCTGGGGTGGCTACATCTGGAGCCGGGTTGCAAGTTGCCTCAGTCACTCCAGGTGTCACATCCCCAAGGGACGACTTCCCCAAGAGACACCATCTCTCAGAAGCCCCCGGAAGACTTCCTTGTCACCTCACTGGCCAGAGGGGCGGGCGGGCAGGCGTACCCCTGGCCTGGGCTGGAGTGCACAGGGCAGGAAGATGGCTCTGCCCGTGCGGAAATCAGGGTGCATCTGGGGCGGCCAAGGGCTCCTGGAAACTGGGTCCAGCCCCCCAAGAGGGAGCTGGGCAGGCAGAGGTCAAGTCCAGTGTCCGGAGACCCTGAAGAACAACGGGGCAGCCCAGCGCCCAGCAGCGGGGAACGGGAGAGGGCGTGGCTGCCCACACCCCCCCCAACTCCTGCTCCGGGAAAGGCCGAGGTTGGGGGTGGGCCGCAGGGAGCGGCGGGTGGGCGGGAGGGGTCAGCAGCCACCGCAGACAGCGGCTGCACCGGGCCAGGCCGGGCCGGGTCGGCGGGAACCGGCCCCTGCCTGGACGCAGCGGGCCATCCTCCCCCAGCAGTGGCTCCTGCGTGTGCCGGCGACTCTCGTGGACAGGAAGCCGCCTGCCGTCCCGTCCTCAGACCCCGCGGCCAGGGAAGAAGGCGGTGGCTGGGCGTCACGTTATGAACGGCCCCAGGCTGAGTTTTGCTTTAAAATAGGCTCTTTATAGCCCTGGCTGGCGTAGCTCAGTGGATTGAGCGCGGGCTGGGAACCAAAGTGTCGCAGGTTCGATTCCCAGCCAGGGTACATTCCTGGGTTGCAGGCCAGAACCCCCAGCAACCACACATTGATGTCTCTCTCTCTCTCTCTTTCTCTATTCCTCTCTTTCCCCCCTCCCTTCCCTCTCTAAAAATAAATAAATAAAATCTTTTAAAAAAAAATTATAAAAAAAAATAAAAAATAAAAAAAAATAAAATAGGCTCTTTATTGTTCCTCCGGTTACAAAACGCATTACAAAACCAGGTAACAGGAGACACACGTCCACACACGTCCACCGGGGAAAGCGCAGACCCCCACCTCCCGCCCCCGGGCAGCCCTGGGGTCTGCGTCCCAGGACCAGCGGGGCGGGCGGTGCCCGGCCAGGCGTCCGGGCCTGCGGGCTGCGGGTGAGGACGCACCCCGAACCCCGAGTGCCGCGGGACAGGGACCGGGCCTTGTCCGCTGTCTCGGCACCCGGCAGGGACGACGATGCCCTGCAGCCCCGCAGGGACTCCCCGCCGGGGTCTCCGTGACCGCGGAGCCGTGGCCTGCGTCCCGGAGCCCGGCTCACCGAGACGGTCCACCGGGGGTGACAGTGGACAGGAGCCAACTCACAGTCCCCCCCCATTCCCCTCACTCCCTGCCACGGGCACTGGCGCCCCCTCACCATGGGACAAGAGGCTGGGGCGTGGGGGGGGGCCCCGGGAAGGGCGGGGCCGTGGGCGTGTGTGGAGCCCAGAGAAACTCCTCGGGCCACTCCGCTCAGGGAGGACAGGAGGCCTGGCAACCAGCTGCGCATGCCCGGGGCCTCGCCCTGCACGCGGACACCTGCCAGTGTCCAGACGACACGGGGACCCACGGGGGAGAGGGTGGCAGCCACATGCCCGGTCTTCAGCTGTGCACCCCTTGGCCACCATCAATGTGGCACAGCCGCACCCCCCGCACGGGGGCCAAGACCACAGCTGGGCTCTCGGGGCTGCCGGCCGCTCCTCCCGGCCAGTGCCCACAGGCCTCAGCCCCCTCGCCAGAGAAATGGGGGCACCCCACCTCGGGGGCCATGGGGGCAGTGTATAGAGCAGGGGAGACGCGGCCGGCAGCACCACCGCCCTCTCCACTCACGACTCCCCGTCCCCTCACCTTGCAGCCCCCGGCTCCAGTTTTCACATAGCGTCCGTCCCTCTGAGCGTGGGGTCCGGCTCCGGGGGTCCAACCCAGGCCGGCCCCAGGCCAGAGGCAGCTGGGTCTGCCCGGCTGGACAGGCCCAGCGAGGCCAGCGGACTCCGGGCCAGATGCGTGTGCTGGCCGGCGCCCTGCCAGGGCCGCATCCAGACCCCGGAGCCGAGGGTGCCACAGAGCCCAGGCCCCTCGTGCGGCACGCAGGTGAGGCCGCCAGCGTGGGAGGGAGCCCCGGCCCTGGCAGGCCGCCGGGACCCTCCCCCAGAACAAGGGACACCCCGTCACGGTTTTCCTTTAATCGCGGTTTTAGACGCCCCCCACACGGACATCCGCTCCTGCGCGTTTCCTCTCTGTCCACTGGTCACCCTCAGAAGGAAAGGCCGGAGCGCTCTGCACTGACCCTGAAGTCTGGCTGGACATTCAGCAGCGAGCACAGCTGGGAACACGAAAGACAAAAGACGGTCTTTGTAGAACCCTGTGGGTTTGGGCCGACACACGAGCGCGCTAGCATCTCCGGCCGCAGGTTCCTCTGCGCCGCCGCCCCTCGCGGCAGCCCCGGCCCCCCCTCTGCAGCAGCCCGCACAGGTGCCACAGGAGCCGCGGGACCCGCGCCGCCCCCGCTGCCCCCACCAAAGGCAACACGCAGCGGACAAACCTGCTTAAACTTCCCTCTGATCCTGTCCAAGTCTTCGTGAAGTCTGGCGTAAGTGGGGTCATCATAAGGGAACTTCTCGATCATCCCTATCAGTGACTCCAAGACCTTCATCTTCCTGCTGCGAGGCGCAGAGACACTCGGCGTCACTCCTTGGTACTCCGCAGCGACCACGGCGCTCACTCACTTGCTCGCTCACTCGCTCACTCACTCGCAGGCAAGGGGCGCGCTCCGGGCGGAGCTCAGCAGCCGAGGGATTCGTTTTCTCAGTGTGCCACATGTCTATCTCCCCAGCGACACTCTCACCCACAGCCGCGCCTCGGGTGTGAGCCCAGAGCACAGGCGTGCCCCCGCCCTGGCCAGGAGCCAGGAGACAGGCCCCCCACCAAGCGCACTGGCCGCTGCCCTCCGGGTCACTGACTCGGGCACGGACAGAACAGGACGGGACAGTGTGCGGGGCACGGTCCAGCCTGCTCCAGGCCCGGGGGCTTCCCAGGCCCTGGACCACATCTCCCAGAGCTCAGCGGCAGGAGAGCGGGCAGGCGCCTCCCTGCGCCGCAGGGCGGCACTGGCGTCTGCAGCGGCCCGGCCCACCTCCCCAGGAAGACGGGGTTCTGCTGGGCGGCTCTGCAGGAGCAGCGGCCCTGGGGGTGACCGCCACCCGGCGCCCTCAGGGGAAGAGTGGGGCCGACAGGGACCTCCGCAGGTGTCGAGACCACAGGAGACCCACGGCAAGCGCAGAGCCCGGACCGAGTGGGCGCAGGGGCAGTGCAGGCCCCCGCTCCCACTGCGCCCCGCAGGCCAAGCGTCTGGGTGGCGGGGGCGGGGGGGGGGATGCAAAAACAGCCATGTGTGTGCACATCTGGGTGATGTGCCACCAGGGGTCCTCACGGGCCCCGCCGGGTCACCTGAGCGCAGGGCTGCGCTAGCATCTGGTGGACGGGAATTTCAAAGAACGCGTCCCTGACACGAGTCTACCGCCACGCGGAGCGGCCAGGACTCCCCGCGCACCAGCTCCGTCTGCGGGCGTGAGATACGCGAGTCGGGGGGTCTGCGGGGCGAACCGCTCGGGTGGACAGCACGGCCACCCCTCTGAGCAAGTGCAGGATGCTGACAGGTCAGAGCAAGCTGAACCGAGGCAACCAGGCCCTCGGTTCCCGGGGAGGCGGCAGGCAGGGGCCAACCCGTGGGCAATGGCCGTGTTCTGACTCGACACGCAGACCACCACCCACTTCCCACTGTGCACATGGCAGTGTCTCTCCCCCCCCGCCCCCCCACCCCGGTCAGCGCAGCTCCCCAAACACACCCAGCAGGTGCAGCGCACGCGGGCAGGGCGTGAACCGCTCTCGGCTGGAGGGACAAAACTGGGGCTGCCCCAGCCCCAGCGCTCCTCCTGGGCCGCTCACAGGCTGAGAGGCGTCCCCAAGTCCACCTCGAGGCCACGGCCGCAGGTGCGGGGCGCCAGCCTTCGGTCTGAGATGCCGCTGCCCGTGAGTGGCGCCGCTGGTGTGCCAGCCCGGTTTTCCCGAGTGACGGCATGACGGCAGGAGGTTCTCGGTGCCCAACTCGGGCGCAGAGCAGCGGCAGGCCCTCCGCCTCCCGCCCCTTTTCCAACGCCGCACTGGCCCACCACTGCCACCGCCGCCACCGCCAGCTCTCACTCCAAGACAAGGCCCCCGGGGGCACTGCCGGTGGGCGGGGGCAGCGCCTACCCACACTCCGACACACGGGCCAGGCGCGGGAGCCCTGCTCCGGGCTGGGGTTGGAGCCGCTGGGTGTGGGGCCCAGGGCTGCACACCTCCGCGGACAGCAGGCCTGGCGCCGGGGAGACACGCAGAGGACTCGTCCCCGCACGGAGCGGAGTGGGGGGCCACGCTCAGCTCGGACTGCCACGCAGTGGCACCACAGGCTGCCAGTCATGGGTCCAACCGGACCACCAGCCATCCTGCACACCCGCGGAGTCCACAGACGGAAACGCCCCCAAGGACACAGGAGCCAGGTCAGTTTCCAGCTACTCAGGCGGACGGAGGGCCAGTGACCCGGACAGGCCTGAGGGCGAAACTCAGGCCACCTCAAACAAGACGACGAGTCACACGGACGGGACTGCCACCCTTCTGCCCTCCACCTGGAACCCACGGTCCTCGCACCCTTCCCAGGCCAGGCAAGGCCGCCACGCAGCAGGAGGACGCAGAGCGTCCTGGGCCTCAGTTCCCCGGGCGGCCGGGCAGGACGGCCAGAGCCCGGGCCTTTTACTGCCGGGCTCCCTTCCCGCCTCGGAACGCAGACAGACACGCAGGGTCACGGGGCCTCCGTGGGCACGCCCAGCTGGGAGCAGCCTAAGACAGCCCACGGGCACTCGGAGCTCCCGCGCACCAGGCACGTGTTAACTCTGTGGATCTCACGATCAGACCGAGGCGGCCGTGTCCAAGGGCTGGTGAGGCGAGGTCCGCGCCCCCCAGCCCCCGTCATGCCGAGGCCCCGCCCTGCTTCTCCGACACTGCAGGCGCAGACGCCGCCCACCTCGACATTCCCGTGTTGAAAGGGGCCCCAAAGGCCGCCCCCCGCTCTGGCGCCGCGGGAGAGGCTGGGCACGCGGGATCCCCGAGGAAACACCAGCGCTCGCCAGCCACCACGCCAGCAGCCCAGTTTACAGTGGTCCCCCTTCCGCCACGGGGGTGCGTTCAGAGACCCCCAGCGGGTGCCCGAAACCACGGCTGGTACTGAACCCCTCACGCGCTGTTTTCTGCTGTCGACACGCACACGCCTTCCCACTCAGAGGGGGCGCTTTGCGGCTTCTCTTCGGCGGGTCCAAACTGCCAGCATGGCTGGTCTCCCGCCGGGAGGCCGTGACTAAGCAGAAGGTGGTGAGCGAACACAGGCCCTGGGCCGGACGCCAGGGCGGTCGCTCAGTGGTGAGGGGCAGGGAGCGTCCACAGCGTGCATCCGCTGGACACGGGCACGGCCCACGGCCCAGGCAGGACGGTGCAGGATGGCGTGAGATTCCATCACGTTGCACCGCCCCCGGCATGCACAACTTAAAACGCGCGAACTGTTCATTTCTGGAATTCTACCATTTAACACTCTCAGACTACAACTGCCTGACACTGCAGCTAAGGGGGAACTACCTTGCTCTTTCCTGTTGATCTCACAAACCGTGCAAGCGCGGCCCGCGAGTGTTCCCCAGGTCACACACACGAGGGGACCGGGATGGTGACTGCTCGAGGCCACGCATGGAGGAAGGAGGAAGGCTCCAGTGTTACCTGTCTTTCTCCGCCGCCGCACAGCTGTGCAGGAGGCATCTCCAGGCGAGAGCGAAGCCCTGGTAGCACCCGACCTGCGAAGCCACAAGACATGCGAGAGCGAAATTAGGAAGCAACCGCCTGCACTTGACGGCTCACCACGTTCTCCACATGGTGGGGGGGGGGCGGGGGGGTGGGGGCGGGTGGTGCAGGGCAGCGGGGCTTCCCGCGCTGCTGCTCCACGAGCTCATGCTGAGCGTTGGGTGGTGGGACAGGAGGCCCGGGCACCAGCGGGCAGCCAGCCTCCTGGCCGGTCTGCCCACAGCCCTGAGGCGACCGGCGTGCCCGGGGACGGGGCACGGAGGGAGGGGCAGTCCACTGCGTCTGCGGCTAGATGTGACAGTCAGCGTCACCTCTGCCTTGTGGTCTCGGACCACTCCCTCCCTCCAGGGTCATGGGGACACTGCAGCAGCCCCACGGGTGGCTCCGCCAGCGAGAACGCCGGCTGGGTGGTTCGCCTCACAAGCGGCTCCTCTTGCCCCAGTGGGGCCCGGCTGACCCGACGCCGTCCGAGCCATGACCACCCAGCTCAGCGGCTGTGGACCCTGCTCCCTGGCCCTCAGAACCGGGTGAGAGCCCGCGTCTGCTGACTCCAGCCCACACGTGGTGCGGTGGGGACTCGCTCTGCAGCGACAGACACCGGACAGTCGCGGCTGCCTGGTCGGTGCACGTGGGGCCAGCTGTCCGGGAGTGGCGGCCAGTGCGGGACGAAGGGCGGGAGAGAGGGGAAGTCACAGACCTTCGCCCTCCGTGAGAACGGAGTGTCTTCACGTGACACGGAGCACCGTCCTCTGGGTGAGGACCCACCTGGCCAGAGACAGAGGCAGCACCACGGCGCGCGGATGGACGGCAGTGCCTGAGGACTGACCGCTCTTCTCGGCCCCCAGCCGCACGCCCAGCGCACGACCTCTGCCAGCAACACGCGCCGGCAGCCCTGCGCTGAGACTCCTCCTCCATCAGGGCCCCGCCTGGCCTGCCGCCGCCGCCACACGGGGCTGGAGGGCTGGCTCAACCCCAGTCTTCCTCCAACCGTCGGAGGGAGTTACACTCTGCGCCTGGAGAGGACTCCCTGCGGAACGGGGCTCCCACTCACCTCAGACCCGACTTTCGCTCCATACAGCGTGCCGTGCCGCCTTCCTTCGATGATGCCCAAACTGCTGCCCTCTTCGTAGCCTTCCTGGTACCCTTCCCCGCGAAACCTGCGCCGGAGGAGAAGCGAGCTTGATCAAGAAGCAGGACAAAGAGTATTCTCCCTGGAAAAACTTTCCTCTCCCCTGTCCCCCAGACCCAGCAAAACAAGGCCCAGAATAGTAGAAAAATTACAGAATTTAAAAATTTTTTTTGTTTTATGTTATTGTTATCGGTTGATTTTAGAAAGAGAGAAAGATGGGGGAGGGAGGGACATTGACTTGTTCCACTCATCCATGCATTCAGTGGTCGCCTCCTATACTTACCCTGACCAGGGATCGAACCCACAACCACAGAGTAGTAGGACAACGCTCTAACCCATGGAGCTCCCCAGCCAGGGCAAAAAGGACAGAATTTAAGTCAGAAAATGTAGCTCCCGACCCCTGCTGCAGCCCCAAGTCTGCCCTCGGGCCAGTCTCTCTGCCTCTGGACGCCCAACACGCCTCTGGCGCAGAGGAGCATGGGCTCACTGGCAAGTCCCCAACCTCGTGGGACACCGGAAACGTGCAGGGAAGTGTCAAAGATACACATCCAAGAGCCTCACCCTGGCACTCGGTAGGTCTGGAGTACCACCCAGGGATCTACTTTCTGAAACCTCCCAGGTGACTGCACCCTGCAGCCCAGGCCCTGTGAGTCCGTAAGAGACGCTACTCAGCCCATTGCTCCGGAGAACTCTGCCACAGACACACAGAGCTTTCCGTCACGTCCAAATAGACTGGCAGAGAAAAATGCCATCGGATCACCGCGAAGGGTACAGTGACTGTGGTGCGTACAGCGCAGTAAAGGCTCTGACTTGGAGGGCTCCAGAGTAGAAACGGCACCATCTTAACGTGCAGTCAACAAAGGGGAAAGGAGTTGGCTGGAGTCCCTAGCACGGCAGGTTCCGCAGGTCCTGCCTGTGGGTTGTGTGACCCTGGACAGGGGCCCTGCCTCATCTGCAAGGTGGGGTGAATAATAGGAGCTACTAGAATAGATAAAGGGGACGCAACCCTCCAGCCCGTGTCGCATTCACAATAAGCTCTAAATAAATGTCAGCCACTGGCTGACATCTCTTGCTGTCTTACAGAGGCACAAAGCAATTCACCACCACCCCTGGGGGCTCAGGAGGCTCAGGAGGGAAAGGGGTGACGTCTGACACATTTATCAGCACGCCCATGAATGCTGCCGTATGTCCCACCACGGAGAAACAAGGAAAAGGGGCAGTGCCCAGATGGCAAAGGTCTGTCCCGGCCAGCGTCCCTAGAGGAAGGCAGTCATCAGCCGGAGCAGATGCCGGGGACAGCCGAGGACGGGGGAGGCGGGTCTGCAGGAGCAGGTGGGCACGTGGCGCCCCCCCAGCGGCCGAGGGGTGAAAAAGAATCAATAACGTCTCGGCCCCACCCGTGTCCGCCGCCCTCAGAGCCACAGAGCGCTCCTCCAAGGCCCACGCCCACGAGACGCCTGGCCCCAGCGGCCACCGCAGCCCCAACAGCTAAGAGCGGACCTGACAGGGGGAGGACCCACCTGTCATCCGCCATCACGATGGCATCAAACGGGTCCTCACTCCCGGCCATGGCGGCAGCCCGGCCCGACTCTGCTCGCGAGCTGTGCCAGCGGGCGCTGCGGCCACCACCGCGCGAGACCCAGGCACAGATTCACCACTTCCGAGGAAGTGAAGCCCGCTTCCGGGGACGGCTGCGCGGAGCAGGCTGGGTAAGGACGGCACGCGGCAGGGTCCATTAAACACCGGCGCGGAGCCAGACCCTGTGCGCTGGGACGGCGCTGGGCGGGGTTGGGAAGGCACGAAGCCCCGCCCACGGGCCCTGTAGCCCCTCCCTTCGCCCCCGCAGCCTTCCCGCTTCGCCCCTGCAGTAGGCCTGCGGGTCCCAGCTGAGAGCATCCACGTGGCCTCAAAAGTGGGCGCGTGGCCCGTGTTTTCGGGTTACAAAGCCCAGCGGGTGGAACTCAAGTGCCTTAAGTGGCTCGGGAAGAAAGTGGGATAGCAAGGGTCGGGACCAGCAGGCTCGGCCCCGGGGATTTTGAGATGAAAACTTCCAGCAAGGGCAATTCCCAGGCGGCGACAGGACCCTGTCCCACGTGCTCTCAGTCCCCGACCCACAGCCGGGGGACGCTTTCCAGCGCGACATTGGACTTCAAACCCCAGACTAAAATGCCACCAAGTCCACGTTGCCAGTAACCCAGGGTCCGCGGGCCCTGGTTCAGGAGGCGCAAGGCCGCCGAGGTGTCAGGGTAGCAGCCCAGCCGTCCGTCCTAACACTGGCTGGGAGCGGCTCTAACAAATGTTGCGATTGCCCTTGAAACGTTAAGTTATTTGAAAACTGGAAATAGAAGTTGTTGTGTTCTTTTTCGGCCCCTGGCTGTTGTTTTTTGTGTTTTTTTTTTCTCAAACAAAAGCAGAGTAATTCATAATTCATGCAGAGTCCAGAATCCAACCGCCCTGGGGGGTTTGGGAGGAAGAGCAGCCTGCGCCCCCACTCCCGCTGGAGGTATCTCCCGTCCCCACTTTCTAAAACATCATTTACGAGTTTCACTTCAACCAATCGTCCTTTTCCGTGAGAAACACTTTCCAGACACGATTTTTGAAACGGCGCTTCCAACTGTCAGCGGCCGTGGAACGCGGGCCTGAGTACTGGAGTCGTTCTCTTTCTCCACAAAGTAAGACAGACAGACACTGGTATTGCTTCACCACGCGCCCACGGAACATTCCCTACACAGCCTGGCGCGTGCAATAAAACGGGAACAGGAGCGGGAAGTCCGAGAGTCAGAAAGAAGACACCAAATCCCAAATCCCATCCAGAAATCCCAAAGTAAGCCTTTAAGACATTCTCAGAATTGGTTGTGGAGTTCAGAAAAAAGCACTGGCCTTCTGTTGTTGTTCCAACACTAATTCGTGGCGGCCGGGCGGGAAGGGCGGGGAATCCGCTTTACGAGGGTCACAATCAATTGCTCAGAAATAAGATGTGAGCCGGATCCGCGTGAAGAAAACTACCGACGTTCCCTGACCCCTGGGTAGGAGCGAATGCAACCGGAATTCCACATGCTCTGGGGGCAGTGTGTCATAATTTTAAATTTCGTCTGGGTGAATAAACTGATCAGAGTAACTCAGGTGTTTCTGAAAAAGCATGACGCGGAAAACTTGTCACACCGGGTACGAACGTGTCAAGTTTCGATTGGGATATTGTAGCGTGTTCACTCCAGGAGAGGCAGATCAGTGAGACGGAGTCGGGGGGCCCCAAAGGAGATGCTGGAAGGCGTAACACCTGGTCGCGTGATGGAACGAAGTAGCACGCGTGATAGGGCACGGAACACACATCGGCGTCCAGAATGAGGAGGTTCGCCGGGAAACGTCAAGTTCGCTTCTATCTCACGGCATTCGTTCAAGTAGTTCCAGGCAATTCAAGACAGCTTTTTAGCGGGCGTTGAATGATCTAGGTGGGACACCCAGGTGAGGACGGAGATGCACGTTTCGTACCGGAAAAGCCGGGGAGAAAACCACGAAGGGGAAACCGTTACTTTCTTGCATGAAGATGCAAACCTCCGCGCTCCAAACGTGCCGATAAAATTAGAAACCAAAGAACAATCTGGAGACGTGGTTTTCGTGACGACTGTAACTGAAGAAATCATATATTTTTATAAAGAACTTGCTCAAATGGATATGAAACAAATGCTCCCCGACAGGAAGGCGAATGAGAAAGACCAGCAAGGCAAGCCCGCAACGAGGCAAGCCCGCCTTCCGGAGAATCTAAAGGAACATACGACGTGGGGTTTACCTCTGAATACAGTTGAAAAGAAATTCTTTTTTGGTTAGAATGGAAAGATACCACTATCATTGCTTGCAGATGCATAAGTTAAAGCCATCTTCCCATTGGGCAGCATGGAAATACAGGAAGGACGTTTTAAATGTTTGGGTTTTTTTCTTACGTTTGACCTAGCGATTTCCCTTCTAGGATCTCATCTCTAGGATATAATCAGGAAAAAAAAGTGACGATTTTTTTTTTGCAGAGGGATGTTCCGTGCAGCGTAATCCGTAACAGCCAGGGGAAGAAAGCTACAGTAAAATGACAGATCCTCCGAGGTCGGAGGACAGACACACGGAAGATTCGTAGGCAGCAGCCAGAAAGCAATGTTTGAAACAAAAGTAACGTCATGGAAAATGAAAACGCTCCCGACGTTTAAGGGGAAACAAACGAACTACACCTGCTCTGGTTCTCATGTCAGACAATTACGTGGCTAAAAATAATGAAAGTACACCAACTTGTTAACATGGACAATTCTAGATTTTAGAATTGCAGTACTAAGCTTTCATCTTCCTTTAAAAATATTTTATTTATTTATTTATTTTATTTTTAGAAAGGGGAGGGAGGGAGAAAAAGAGAGAGAAAGAGAGAGAGAGAGAAACATCAGTGTGCGGTTGCTGGGGGCCATGGCCTGCAACCCAGGCATGTGCCCTGACTGGGAATCGAACCCGCGACACTTTGGTTCGCAGCCCGCGCTCAATCCACTGAGCTACGCCAGCCAGGGCCAGCTTTCATCTTTTATATTTCCTCTGTGTTTATACAGTGAACATGAGTTTCTCTTTTCAGCATAAAGAAGCTCAGTAAAATATATTTTGGGGGAGATAAAATTGAACAGGCTGCATTAGTTTGTTCTTACGGTGTCTTTTCATTTGTAGTAGATTTTTTTCATAATTGAACAAAATCACAAAACATTTGGAGTGCTGAAAAAAGGACAAAACGAGCAAGCAAATAAATCTGCTCTCCCCAAACCGTAGCTGCCAATACATTTTTACTGTTTTTTTTAATGCTCACTGCAGGATATGTTTTTACTGGGTTTAGAGAGAGAGGAAGGGGGGGAGAGAGAGAGAGAAACATTGATGTGAGAGAGAAACATGGATCGGTTGCCTCCCGTACCAGCCCCTACCGGGGTACACTCCTGGACGGGGGTACCTGTCCACGCTGGGGTATAATCCCAGACTGGGGGTACACACCTGACCCGGGATAAGCTCCTGGACCGGGGTACACGCCCTAACTCCGGTACGCACCCAATCTGAGTACAATCCTGGACCGGGTATGCACCCACCTGGGGTACAATCCCCGACCGGGGCACCCAGCTGAGCCGGGGTACGCCCCAACCAGATACACGCCTGGACCGGGTTATGCCTCAGTTCGGGATACACTCCCGAGTCAGGATACTGCGCTCCCAGACCAGGGTACGTGCCGCAAACAGGGTACGCTCCCGGACCAGGGTACTCACGACACGCTCCCGAGACGGGGTACGCTCCCGAGTCGGGATACGGCACTCCCAGACCAGGGTATGCACCCCAAACAGGGTATGCCCCGGAGTTGGGAGACAGGGCTCCCGAGTCAGGATACCATGCTCCCAGACAAGGATATGCTCTGGAGTCGGGAGATGGCGCTCCCGGACCAGGACACACTCCCGAGATGGGATACCCTCCCGAGACAGGATACGCTCCTGAGTTGGGATACGGCGCTCCCGGACCAGGACATGGTCCTGGACCAGGACACGCTCCCGAGTCAAGATACGGCACTCCCGAGTCAGGATACCGCGCTTTCGGACCAGGACACGCTCCCGAGACGGGCTACGGCACTCCGAGACCAGGGTACACACCCCAAACAGGGTACGCTCCCGAGATGGGATACCGCACTCCCGGACAGGGATATGCTCCCGAGTCGGGAGATGGCGCTCCTGGACCAGGACACACTCCCGAGACGGGATACACTCCCGAGTCCGGATGCGGCACTCCCGGATTAGGACACACTCCCGAGACGGGATAAGCTCCCAAAACGGGATACCGCGCTCCTGGACAAGGATACGCTCCCGAGACGGGATACACTCCCGAGTCGGGATACCGCGCTCCCGAACCAGGACCTGCTTCCGAGACGGGATACGCCCCCGAGACGGGATACGCTCCCGAGACGGGACACGGGGCTCCCAAGTCAGGGTACGCCGCTCCCGAGTCAGGATACAGGGCTCCCAGATAAGGATACGCTCCCGAGTCGGGATACACTCCCGAGACGGGATACGCCCCCGAGTCGGGAAATACTCCCGAGTCGGAATACCGCGCTCCCGAACCAGGACACACTCCTGGGTCGGGATACGCCCGGTCTACCTACGATCCCGAACCGGGTGCGCACTGAGCCAGGGTGCAATTCCGGACTGGTGCACACGCCCAAGCCGGGGTACGCCCTGACCGGATGCGCACCCTGACCAGGTTATGCACCCAGTTTAGGATACGCTCCCAGGCCCGGATACAGCGCTCCCGGACCAGGGCGCGCTCCAGGAAGGGATACATCCCGGGTCGGGAGATGGCGCTCCTGGACCAGGACACACTCCCAAGTCGGGAGACGGGGCTCCCGAGTCGGGATACCGCACTCCCGGACAGGGTTATGCTCCCAAGTCGGGAGATGGCGCTCCCGGACCAGGACATGCTCCCAGGACGGGATACACTCCCGAGTCCGATGCGGCACTCCCGGATTAGGACACACTCCCGAGACGGGATACGCTCCCAAGTCAGGAGACGGCGCTCGCGGACCACACACTCCCGAGTCGGGATACCGCGCTCCTGGACAAGGACACACTCCCGAGTCGGGATACCGCGCTTTCGGACCAGGACACGCTCCAGAGATGAGGA